GGGGGGGGGGGGGGGGGGGCAGGAGCTCCAACAAGCCGTTTAGGACAGAGAGTGAATACACATACTATACAGAGATGCTGTGAGAGAAACCAATGTGAGTTTGGAACATTGAACAATGTAAATCTATTCTAGTCGACCTCAACAATGGAAATATGATCAGTAGACATGGCCATGACATGGGACCTTTAAAATAGGAGAAATGCCAAGTTTTTCCTCATCATTTTTGTTTATTGTAGTTTGACTGGCACTCTTTTAATAAATATATCTCATTACACTCTAATCTTCTGTTATAATTTAAGCCCAACTGCAGAATTAGTGCCACCATCTGTTTGTCCTAACACCTGTTCAATCAGGAGAGACGTGATGTATGAAATACATGTTTATTATCGGGACACATGATATGCGGGAATAGTGATTGACGTATTACAACAAGTAACTGTAATGATGTTTTGGCGATTAGGCCCCGGGTTTGCAGGATGATCATTCAGGAGGGAAAGAACCGCTCTGATGAACCCCTGGGGTCTAGACACTGGTGGTGGTGATAGTAGTTCGTCCGATCTGAAGGGAGAAGGTTTCAGCTTGGCCCTGTATTAGGAGACAGGAGGCGAAGGGGTGGAGGAGGGTTGTGTGTTGACGCCTGAAATGACAACTGACAGGGAGGGGAGAGCAGATTTAAGGGGTTAGCAGGTGCGATGATTGGCTAGCTGGGGCGTGACGCCCCTGATCGCTTATTGAGATAACGTGTGACTCTCGATGATATTGTCTTCCTGATTGAACTTACGCTGAGCTACATTAGATGGAAATACACATGAATTAACATTTATTTGGCTCAAAGTTTGCTGTACATTTGGATGACTTGTGAAAGATTATATTTAACTACATGTGGAACCACAGCCTCAAACATTATAAAGGCAGCTTTTCTTGGGGTCTTATTTGGAGAAAGTTAATTGTCTTTTGTTTGTTTGAGAAGCCTAAGAATCAGCGTCGACATATACGTAACCCTCCTATTGTCTTCGTTTCCCCCCCCCCCCCCCCCCCTTACTTTGGTGTTCGCTATCTAATTTGACCAGTCCTGTTTTAACTGCTATTACATTAACACAAAAACCATTAATCACCAAATTTCATTTCACACCCTTTCAAACTGTACATATTGTATCAGAGTACTGGTATACATGAACAACTGCAGAATATACAAAGAACAGACACTGAACATGTATTGTGTGTTCCAGGTGTGATCCATGTGGGGGGAGGGGCACATAAGAGCGGGAAATGTGTCAGATTGTTCTGTGTGTGTGTGTGTGTGTGTGTGTGTGTGTGTGTGTGTGTGTGTGTGTGTGTGTGTGCCAGGTGTGATTCACATGGGGGGATTGGGCACATAAGGGGGGGAACACATCTAGAGTGTGTGTGTGTGTGTTTTATATCTGATCCGGATGGTTACTAATTCCTTTTCTTTATGGTGGTCACTTTTGACCGGGAACACCATGGCTGTTACAAAGTTGACTAAATCATCCAAAACTCAATGAAAGTGGTGATCAGCAATTGTATATGTTCAAATATCTACTGTGAAGGATATCATGAAGCCTTAATGCAATCGAATGTGAAACAAAAAGGTTATGATTGATGAAAGTAGTAAATCGGTCAGATTTGACCCGAAGACAACAGGAGGGTTAAAAGACAAAAATATGAAAGTACTAATTTTGCAATATGCCTGCATTCAGACAGCATGAACCCATTTACCTTAATTAAAACGTACATCCATTATCATCACTGTCACTTTTTTACTTTTCAATTAGAGATGATGATAATGACAGGTGTTGATTGTAGTGAAGACAGTCATAATGATAATGAAGATAATTATTTCTCTGATTATGTGCATATTGCGTGGAGGTAAACGGGTGATCATGAATATAATGATTATCAAACGACTATAAAATCTACTCATTAATGTTGGCATTTACATTTTTTACATTAGGTGACACTTCAATTATAATTGTTTATGGACTCCATAGCAACTGCTCTTGATAAAGCACAAAGCTGTTTTTCTCACTAGAAATACTTTTTTTTAACTTTTTAATTAAACATCCCATTAATCCTCCATTAAGGTTGTAAATCAGTTTTGCAAATGGCTTCACTTATTGCAGGGAGTCGTTTTTGACAGCTGGGTCGACGTTGAGTGACATTTGTGGATCGATGATGATCAAAACACAGATGAAAGCATTACTTTACATGAAAATGAGGGCCACTGTGTGTGCTGATATCACTTCCCTCCTGTGGATTAAACAGCTCTCAGTTTATTGCCGTTTGCTTTGGCTTTCAAGGCGGCGGGTCATCAGGCGTTCCGGGAAAGAAGCGCTTCATAACACACACACACACACACACACACACACACACACACACACACACACACACACAACACACACACACACACACACACACACACACACACACACACACACACACACACACACACACACACACACACACACACACACACACACCACACACACACACACACACACACACACACCACACACACACACACACACACACACACACACACACACACCACACACACACACACACACACACACACACACACACACACACACACACACACACACACACACACACACACACACACACACACACACACACACACACACACACACACACACACTTAATGGACTTTCTGACCGTGATGTATCCCACTGTTTCCTGCATTTTCAACATTAGACCCATATAACTGCTGGTATATAAAGCACTGATTGGTTTAGGGTCCACAATACATCTTTTATCTTCTGCTGCATTAAGAACCATTTAGGCTTTCTGACCTCAGAGTCAAAACTACGCATGGAGAAGCAACGTTCAGTTATACTGTATGCTCCATTTATCATTACTAACAATAAAGAGCTTTTTGAACATTAAAGCATGGAGACATGTCACAGTAGAGACACTACATACTGATTTACACCTGAACATCAGCAGGAGAGGACTCTTTAAAGTAGAGACACTACATACTGATTTACACCTGAACATCAGCAGGAGAGGACTCTTTAAAGTAGAGACACTACATACTGATATACACCTGAACATCAGCAGGAGAGGATTCTTTAAAGTAGAGACACTACATACTGATATACACCTGAACATCAGCAGGAGAGGACTCTTTAAAGTAGAGACACTACATACTGATTTACACCTGAACATCAGCAGGAGAGGACTCTTTAAAGTAGAGACACTACATACTGATATACACCTGAACATCAGCAGGAGAGGACTCTTTAAAGTAGAGACACTACATACTGATATACACCTGAACATCAGCAGGAGAGGACTCTTTAAAGTAGAGACACTACATACTGATATACACCTGAACATCAGCAGGAGAGGACTCTTTAAAGTAGAGACACTACATACTGATATACACCTGAACATCAGCAGGAGAGGACTCTTTAAAGTAGAAACACTACATACTGATATACACCTGAACATCAGCAGGAGAGGACTCTTTAAAGTAGAGACACTACATACTGATATACACCTGAACATCAGCAGGAGAGGACTCTTTAAAGTAGAAACACTACATACTGATATACACCTGAACATCAGCAGGAGAGGACTCTTTAATGTAAGATGATCCGATAAAGTGATATGACATGTTTCCCTACCTTGCCGCCACTCCAACAATTTACACCAATCAAATGGTCGTCTGTTTGTTACAACTACTAATTTAAATGAAATGCAGCAGCGAATGCAGATCAGCACAATTATTTGGCTTACTGAAAGCTCATTAACTCACAATAGTCTTGGATTCTTAAGCTTGTATCTTCATTGTGAGTTGTTTTGGATAAAAGCCATTGTAATCATTTCTGAAAAAAAGACATTTGAGTATAAAAAGCAGTGACATTACCCTGCAGAAATGATCGTTTCTGTACTTCTCCTCCTGCGTCGAAAATTGCAAACTGTCTCGTGCCGTCTGTACGCTCCAATAATGAGCCTGATTTCCCCTCGGTGTAAAAACAAGCATAGAAACAGGGGTTATTCGCCGGTTGCAACACATTTGCAAGACATGTATCAGACGAAAGCTGGAAGAAGGCCTAATGCTTCTGGTTTGGTTTCTCATGACACAGATCCCATTAGCGGAGTAGCGTATGCTGGTGGGAGACTCATGGTCCCATTATGATCCTAATGCCAGCAAAGGAATGGTCTCTATTTGGAGTTTAATAATGGATCTATTTCATGCATGTCATGGCAGAAATAACAACATCAAATTCATCGTCTTAGAAACATATTTTTATTTGACGAAAGTATTTTTTCTCTCAGGGTCAAGTATAGGAAATACTTTACAATTTTGATTGGAACTCATTATACACACAGAAAACACAACCAAAAGCAAACGGGTTGAAAAGGCGAGATGTTAAAGGAAAACATTTATGAGTTGTTTTTCAAGGTGAAATCATTTTTTGGGGCATATATTCAAATGTAATCTCCTGCCGTCGGAAAGGAACAAAAAGAGACAAAAACAAGACTCAGTGCCGTAGATGTGACTCTACTTAGAAAATGAATCAAAGCAACCTTGGGACATGGAGGTTAAAATGGCAGTGAGATTATAGCGGGTTTTTTTATGTTAAAAAAACAGAAATCCTGAAGTTCATGCTTTTCGTGAAGAGGTTATATTTACCAAACAGGCTGGTTTGAACCATGTGAAGCTGTTCTATCTCTGCTCACTGATAGTAACTAATGTTATCTTCCTTCCTACAGACAACTGAAGCATGAAATACCTCAAACTAAACTACAAAGTGGTGCAGTGATGACGTCATTTTGTAGTCCCACCAGGAAGTTAGCATCACACCGGTTCCCTCCACAAAAAACTATAGGATTTTGGAATACTTAAAAAAATTCTGTGGCAAACCCACAGTTAGGACACTTACACATTTTGTTCAAAAGATGAATCTCCACATATTAACATCAGTTTGTGATTTCTTAAGCAAAAAGCTAACGTTATAAAAGGAACTACAGATGGTCAAATGACTTCATCTCACGCAACGGGCGTTTTTTTAATTCAACAGTGGGGTATTTACTGCTGATTTTATGTCGTAAAACAAAACGTCAAAATCTCTTCAGTTTGTGTAAACCTTATTTTAGGCCCAAAAACTTCAAAAAAACATTCGACTTCAAGACGAGGGAACCGAAGTGGTAACATCCTGACTCATTTCCTGGTTTTAGGACTCATTTGATTAGACAACTAAGGGCAAGGGAGAAAATAGGTTTGAGTAATTTGGGAGAACTTCCCCTTGGAGGCTTTACATTATAACTCAAGTGTACGTAAGCAGAGACTAAGTTAAAGTCTGTTCTTCTGAACTGTACAACAGCTATAGTACAGGTGGTATGACAAAGTACACAAATACTTATGAAACACATGAAAATGGACATAAACTGAGAGTTCAATTGGATTCGAGTCATGGCGATGCACCTTAAAGAGCTTACATTACCAATATGTTATCAAATGTACAAACACCTGGGTGACAAAGAACTGGGAAAACACATTCAAACGCCTCGATCTGCTGGTTGCATTTATGACCGTAAAAAAAACTGTCGAGGAGGCCAAAGGAAAAGTTAAACTGGAACCCACAGTAAAATATTTAGCTGCACGCGTTGGCAAATCTATTCCAAACTCTTTGGCATGTACGACCAGCAAAATCCCATTCGTCTTTTACTTATCAATATAAAAAATTGAAATAGAAAAAAAGTATCAAATTTTAAGTCTCCTATGGTTTCGTTATCTTACAATAAAACGTTAACATCAAAGTGTTTTATGCCAAAAAAAAAAGGCTGTATATCAATGCTACAAAAACAAATCTAAGCCTTTATTTACACAGCGACATCATTTCTGTACAGGACATTCATTTTCATTACAGCGCACATTCATGGCTCATACATCCGAAGCACACACTGACTCAAAAGCAGAAAAATAGGATTTTTTTAGGTACCGATCGTAGGGGCTGATGTTCTCTTGTCCTTTTCCTGTGACTGAGTCTCGTCACATAAAGTCATTGAGCTCTGCCTCCAGAGCAGCGGCCATTTCGTCCGCCTCCGAGCTGCTGTCTCCTCCTTCCTCGTTAGAATCCTTCGAAGACTCGTCAGCAGATCCTTCCTCTTCATCGTCCTTTTTCTCCTCCTCCTCCTCCTTGGCTTCATCGTGCTTACGTTTGTGGCCCCTATGGAAATAACAAAGCTGATTTAGAAAGAGAACCGTAAAGCCTTCACCTCTGGGAATCATCTGCTCCAGAATGAAACTGGATTTATAGCGTAAACATGAAGGTCTTATTTTAAAGTAATGCCAAAATGATAAATGTGCTTTTGGCTTTGCTACGAGATAGAACAAATACAAAATAAAAAGTAGAGTCAAATGTGAACCACACTGCTCTACTTGCTCTGGGAAACTTCTGTGTAGCAATGCAGGAGGAGTCACCGACTCACGAAGGAGTCACGGGGAGAGCTGGAGCTTTGATGGCAAACACCGACGGGTTTATTTGGAGCTTCGGCCGGAGAATTCACAAAACAAGTCAAAGAGTCAGAGGTTTTGACTTCACGGTAGAGTTGCCACGTCAACTCTGAAGAACTCTACCCCAGACCCGTGTGTTTAGCTAGTTCAGAGAGAATCATCAACATGCTGCATAACAAGATAGAATCATAACACCTCTATCAGCTGACGCCAACAGGCAGGAGCAGGGAGACACAACACTGAGAGCACAGCAGCCAAGGTTACAGGTGTGTGTGCTCAGTCAGGACAGTTTGAACTGGGTCACAGTTATGGGCCTTGGAGAATATTTCCCCACCAATAGTGACAGGAATAGTTTGACATTGTGGGAAAAACACCATAGCTCACTTACTGAGTTATACTCACTGTTATGTACGTGTTATCAGTGTTATAAATGTATTTGTTTAAGCCATTAAACGTAATGTCATTTTGAGGTTTCATGGGAGTTTTGTATTAGATTTAGTGAGCTTTAGAGGTGCTGCTTGGTGGGTTTTAATGGAGCAATGCTTCTAGTCTTTGTGCTTAAGCTAGCTGTATCTTCATACTGTACAACAGGGCTATTCAATTGGCGGCCCCGGGGTGATATTTACTGGCCCTTTGAGTATAATGTTAAAAAGTAATCAACTATTTTTTTTTTTTTTAAAAATGTTTTTGGGCCAGAGTGCCTTTAGAGTGAAATTGAGAGATAGAGGGGAAGACATTGCCTGAAAACTTCGGCGGGCTCGGGTTTGAACCCACCTACTAGCTACTGTAGTGACAAACTGTCATTTATTGCATCTCTGCGTGAATGATTAGATAATTTCACCTAAATCAAATGAAATCAAATGAAATGATGTTGATGGTTAAATGAGCTTCACATGTAGGCCTACTGAGTTCTGAACTTGCCATTTATATCTATAAAGGCCTTGGGGCTATATATGCACTCCACTATGCTGTTGTAGTATGTATTGTATCCGAAGCTCTTAAATATTATTGCTCATATTTCAAGCCATCTTTTTCCCGGCTCCTTGCTTTGGATCATTTTCATCAACCGGTCCCATTCCAAACTAATTGAACAGCCCTGCTGTACAAGGCATGCAGACATGAAAGTGCAGCCAACTGTCCCATTGACCTCTCAGCAAGAAGTTTCCACTTTTCATGTATTGAATCATTTTGATGCCCCATCGAACAATGTTTACCCTTGTTCATTGTTTTCTTGGACTACTAAGGTAATAAATAAGTTGTTTGCTAGCGTGCTAACAGTCACCTGGTATGGTCAGCTGGCAAGTTGCACCGAAGTATATTGCTATGTAGTTAAAGTATTTGAAATTATTTCAGTAAAATGGAAGTTTTTTGGAATGTCCTGCTTGCTCTAATACGTTGTTTTACCAGAGCCTCGTTTAATTAATCACTTTGGTGAAGACGATGACAAAACCTGTTTCTGTAAAAACTGAGCTCTCGATGTTAAACATTGGGAAAAAATAGACCAGTTGTTTCAAAAGCAAATGAAAGCAATAGGGTTTACTCTCCAAACTAAAACATTAAAAGAATGCGAACAACTTTTATGAACTGGCTGTCCCCCTGAGAACCACACAAAGCAATTAACAAAGGCCTGTTCTCCTTACAGACTGTAGCTGAACTCCTCAGGCACAAAGGGATGTAAAGCCCTCCTAAAGAGCAAAACACTAGAAAGTACTGCAGTGGCGAGGGATTCAGAACAATCGGGAAACCAACACGGGGGCGAAAAAGATAGTTATATTGAACAAAGAGGACGAGATAAGACGATAAGGCCTTTGGAAAAGAAAGGGAATTTGTTGGAAAGAAATCTCATTAAAATAAAAGTGTAAATGAGGCAAAAAGAAATGGACTTAAGATCTGAATCACTCGAGATGGCCACATTACAATCAAAATCTATCGAATAACCCACATCAATAGAAAAACTCATTTACATTTCTATTAAAGAATCTATTGCAAATCCAACAGGCCACAAGCATCTTGGGTTTCCAGAACAATGAGTGACTGTGAAGATCATCAAATAGACAAGCTTCTGGATTTAACTTATCATGAGGAAGTAAATGTTGATTGCACAATGTAATGGCTGTGGAATAATGGCACCATCTGCATGAACACTATAAGCAGGGTATATGCAGGAATCCTGAAGTCAAATGTAAGACCTTTTAAGACCTTTTTCAAGACCCTTTCCATACATTTTAAGGCTACTTCGAGTTACCTTGGCGACACACTTGACCTCACATTGACTATATACAGTATCGATTGTCCTTCCTTCTTATCTTCCAACCATTTGGACGCAGACTTGCATTTCCCCATAACGATGTTGTTTAACAACCGGCGTAAACGGACCTTCGCGCTATCAAGCAGTGAGCGTGCGATGTCCTGTTCAGATGACGTCAAACCCAACGGGATGCCATCAATAAACTACACAGAATCACACTACACACCTACGCCATGATTACATTCAGGCACACTGTAGAATACAACCTCTTTGGACCATTTATATACTTATTGAAAACAAGCTACAACATTTAATACCTTGGAAAATGCAGTTTAATACTTTTTAATAGCCTTCATTTTCGCTAAATTGATCGATCAACTTTTAATACTTTTTAAGACCCCGCGGACCCCCTGATAAACCTGCTTTATCTTTGCTACTCCAGGTATGATCTTCTAGGCAAACGTGGTTTCTGGCACAAAGCTTTGGACAACAAAATGAAGTGTCCTGTTCAGTGTTGCCAAATCTTTACCAATGAAAATAGCTAGCACTTGCTTCAAAAGTCATCTATCGACTTCTACTCTGAGCAGCATTGGGAAGAACTAACAATATGTTGATGATGGTCTGAATTAAATGCTATATTGTCACTTGCAGTCGGCTCTCACATGCATTCTCCTCTTTCCACTCCCATCCAGCTTCTCTCTGACATCCCCTGCATGTAGTGGCTTATTAGCATGACGCTAATGAGGTGTGTAGGGGGTTTTCTATGGTTATGGTTGAGGACTGACACTGGCTCTGCTGAGAGAGAAAGAGATCCTCTCATTAGTGTTTGGTGCTGTCAGACAGCCTCGCTAACCTGCTCAACAGCGGGCTGCCGTTGGGTGTTCATTAAAGGTCAGATGTCAGCTAATATCTGCGAAGAAGCGAGGTGACAGGACAGCTACACTGGACCCCCTGCAGACCGTGTGATGTGGGTGTGAGAGGGAAAAGGTTGCGTATGTGTTACATGATCCGGTAAGTTTTAATTTTCAGAGATCCAGGCTCTGGTCAGAGGGTAATGTGAGGCTGGGAGGTGATGGGAGCAATGATCATTTATTTGGGGAAAATGGGAGAAAATTAGGCAATCCCAAATGTACCACCATCAGTAATGTTGCCACTGCTACCTGCGCTGGTTGGAAACACGCTATGAGTCACTGCGTATAAATATATATACTGTATATATATATACACATTCATGGGCGTCACTTTGTTAGAAAGTGAGGGGACACTTTTTTCAGATAAAACTACTTCATTAAGTGCCTCCCGTACATACATAATGTACATACAAACATATGCTTCCAATACCTTTTTGACAACTAGCGCAGTAACTCAGTTATGCGAGCTGCAAAGCAGAAGCAACAATATCTTTACTATTCTCTTTTGAATTATTACTAATATTAAACATGTCGCAGTTCCAAGTTGCAATACTTGGGTTACCAGAAAGACACCAAAACAGTCCTCGAGATTGTACAAGTTCTCTTGTGCAAATAAAGCTCTTCTCAAAGTGTACAATTCATTGTTCACACTATTTCCAGAACATTTTTAACAAGTGATCCTAATGCAAAGTGGTGCGGGACAAAATTGGCCATTTCCAAGAGGGATGGAGACATTTCCACAGCGTCCCCAGTATAAATTATGCCTGTGTACACGCTGATAAGATGAGTACAAACCTCACCATCCCTCTCTCATTTCCAAATATTAACAGTTGAGACAGCGGGGGTGAGGTCCTTCATCGCTTTCTGCCTCGCATCATTACATCCAATCTAAATCCTCGTCTTTTAATCCAACAACCCACAGACACACATGCTCCCACCACGCTCACTCATGTCGGCTTCAGTTGTAATCTCTTCTTTATTACATTTCTTCTGCTGGTTAAACTACGAAGGCAGCCTCAGCTTTATTTACATTTGAACAAACACACCTCTGACAGAGTCGTCTTTAACACATGACGTGACTACATTTGGAAATGTACGACTTGAGTTTTCATTTGGATCTTGAAAGAGTAATAGTTCAAACTTTTTATTCATAAGCTGCAAAAGTAGGCCGATACAAAAAATGGCTTACAGAACGATGGATCGTTTATTGCAGGAAGGGAAGCAGTGCTGATGTTTTATTCTGGTAAGAAGTAGGGATTATGGTGACACGATTTGGTCAAAATAACTAATTGCGATTGTTTTTGCCTGAAATCAGAGACTGGGATCGTTGTTATTGAGAAATAAACAAAAACAACCACAGTCAGGATATTTTTCAAGGAGGATCTGTACCAAACAAATATAGTATATATTGCGTTTTGGATTAATTGTACAGCTCTATAAAAAGGGATCCACCAATTAAAATGGCTGCATAGGTATTTGGACAAATACTGAGTTTCCTAAGCGAGTCAGTTATAGGCCAAACGTGCCAATCAACATCTAATACATATATTTCAT